CAAACGACTTGAGTTTTAATTATAAGTAAAAATAGTAATTTGCAAAAAAAAAAATTACTTGCTTTTGAAAGGAACATTTGATCTTTTTTTTTATAGCTAACTTTTTCAGATTATAGGCTTAAAGATAAACTTGTTACCTTGAGTTATGGCTTTCTTTCTGCACTCTGCCCTTTGGACTAGAAAAGTGAACCCAACCCTGATTTCTGAGATAATCTGACTTTCTGTGAAAGATAATGCAGGGACACGCCCATGCTGCTGCGGCAGCTGTGCAGCAAGATGGTATTGTTCCCAAACTGCTTCTGTGAGGGACAGGAATTAAGTGTACTGAGAAACCCAGGGACAAAAGCTCTGAGAGATGGAATAATTCTTAAATATTGGAACCTATACCATGTTTTACTTTGTCATAGGGTAAAGCATTCATGGATTATTTCCTTGTCTCTCCCAATAGGGCTGTGTCAAATACCTTTTTTTTTTTTTTTTTTTTAATGTATTTGGTACAGAGTCTTACTATGTAGCTCGGACCTGCAGTAATCCTCCTGTTTTCAGCCTCCCTAGCACTGGGATGACAGGTGTGCCACCACTCCGGGTCTTGGTGTCTGACTTCGTGCTCCCTTGGCGGGGGCAGGGCCAGCCACCATGTGGTGCCTGGATTGAACCCTGAGTCTCTGCACTTGCTTAAGTAGGCGCTTAGTCCGCTGAGCTATCTTGATGGCCTTTGTGTCAAATGTCTTGCTTACCCTGTTTTTTAATTTAAGGATAATGTTGATACAAAGCAGTGCAATGGATTTTGCCCCCCCCCATTGTTAGTTTGTTTTTGGAGACAGGGTCTAGCTGTGTAGTTCAGGGTGGTCATGAACATACTGTGCAGCCCAGGCTGGCCTTGAACTTGTGGAGAGCCTTCTGCCTCAGCCACTGACTGCTAGGACTACAGGTGTGCACCTGGCTCTTTGAAACTTTAATGAAACCTCAGGCAGAGTTTTTAAAACTGAAAATTTGCTGGATTGCTTACCTGTCCGTGATTCCCAGTCAGTCCATTTTTAACATCCTTAAAGTAGTCTCCTCCCGATCTCTTCTTGTCTACTTGGTATTTGGTTTTAGGTTTGCTTCTGAAAATAAGCAGCAAGAACTGCTGGTAAAGTTTCTTTTCACACCTCCTAATGGTACTTAGTGCCTGCTCTGCCATGGGGTTAGCTGTAGGTTTGCTCAAAAGAAGCACTGAGAGGACAAGGCTGATTACAGGAATGGTCAGGTGGACTTCTGTGAAGGTCCTTAGGGGTTTTGCATCCCCAGGGAGGGCTAAAGAGGCTGTGTGCAAGGGCTGATGGAGAAAGCCCAACCACTGCCCTCACTGGCACTAGAGCTGAAGTGGTTTCTTCTTGCCTGCTGGGGTCTGGAGTCTCCATGGCCAGGGCTCCAGGGTGACTTCTCCCTTTCAGTGCCTGCAGCTAGTATTTACAGAAGCCAGACAGCCGTCATCACCAAGGTTACCGTTTACCACATGACCTTCAGGGGAGAAAAGTATGAATAATCCTCTCAACATCTAAATGACAAATATGCAGACTATTCCAGGCCAGGTCCAGGGAAGTGTACTGAAGGAAAGACAAGCTAGCTCTGTGGCTTATACCTGGCATCCCAGCTACTCCACAGGGTGAGTGAGACCAGCTTGGGCAACTTAG